ATATTTATTAATTTATACAGTCTATTTTGCGGACTGTCGTTTTTGTAAACAAGATATTCCAGCGATATATTAGTTCTTTCAGGTATGGATCAATACCCATTTCTTTCGGTACTTTACGAATTATATGCAAATAAGCATAAATTTATTGGTGAACATATTCTCATAGCATTACATTACTGGATGGTTTTCAATACCTATCGTTTAAAAATAGATGATGGTGTAAGTTAAAATACAATCAACTAGAATTTATATTTTTATAGTTTTTAGAAACCAACACAATTATTAAAATATGAAAGATATGGTGATCGACCAATAAGTCTTGTTTATGACAAACCCGATGGTACGTTAACTTATGAATGTTATGCAAACGGTGATGCGTTCGTATTTGAAAATAAGGTAATAATAGAATTTCGGAATGTTCATCATTTTGTGTTTTTTAGAATTTTAAGAATGGCTTGATGAAAGGGTGCGGGTGTGTGGATGCAAGGGTGTGGGTGTGAGTGTGCGTGTGGGTGTGGGTGGATGTGCAACTACTCCCCCACACGCCACCCATTCTCATACCGCACACCCTAACCCTCGCCCACCCACATCAACACCAACACCGACACACCCATCCACACCCACATCCACAACCACACTGACACCCACACCCCACACTCACCCTCTATGCAACGGTATGTTCAGCTTTGTCAAAGTTCAAAGTATGGTGCTTGGGATAATCATGGCACTGTAGAAAAACATGAAAATTGTAATTCGACTTGTGGGGAATCTGATGATACCAATGGATAGAGCTCATCGAGTTCTACTTGAAAGAAGAATAGGAGATTTGGAACAAGCTCCTGAGCTAATCGGGGTTGAATTACTTTTTGGGATAGCTCGACTCCATGAGGAAGAAATCGAAAAACCGATTTTTCAGGTGACCAGTTTGAGCTATGGAAAATCTGATTATATCAATGGATAGAGCTCGTTGAATTTTACTTAGAACAAGTTCCCGAGCGAATCAGCGCTGAAAAAACTCGGATCTAGTGGTAACTTCACCTGTATTGATTTTATTCAACATAACTAATAATCAAAGAGTTATGAAGTTTTTTATAATAATCAGTATGAAATTGTTTGCTCTCATCATAAAACACGAGTGTTGTTACTATAGTTTTCTCGAACTTGGCCCAACTGGCTAAAAAAATAACTACAGATTTGTGAAAAATGTTTTTCACTTATGTATTCATTTGCTCTCGTTTATACAGTTTTATTACGGATCTTTAACTTTTTTCAATGTCACAAGTTGATTGAAAAACCTCTGACAATTCGAATGAACTGTCCAAAAAAAATATTTTCATCCTACTGGAGAAAATTTGTGATAGAGCTCAATGAAAATGAAAAAAATGGTTAATGAAAGTTTTAATCCTCGTAAGTTTGTTCGTGTGGAGAACTGGAAATCATGAATAAAGAGCAAAGAAATATTTGAGAAAACATGAAAACTTCAATGTCATCTGCTTGTGAACGTTTATATCCTTAATGGTAATCATCATCATCATGTTGTAATTGTCGATTTTTATTAATTTGCTTTTGACTTGTTGATATTGAATTGTTTGGTCGAAAATCCAGTAATTAAATACTATCTTCAAGAGAATATTCTCAAATGTCAAATATTTGTCCTTTAACTTTTATTGTTAAAAAATCACAAAATACTGACAAAATAAATTTACAACAAATAAATAAATTCTTTTCTATGTGAAATATTTTGCCATACTAAATGTTCGAATAACTTGTAATAGAAGATAAGATTGAAGAATATCACGAAGTAACATATTTTGCTCAAACTAGAAGTATAAGTACAAACTTTTGTGTCACTTGTGACCAAATCGACTCTATTTCTTTAAGCAAACAATTTCATTCTTATTGTAAACTAATCGATTAAAATATTTAAAAGACTGATGGTTTATAGTAAAAAGCGTGCTTTTAGGTTTCATTTTTTTGTGTAGCTTTCGTCGAAAAATCTGAGTTCATCATTCGATCGAGCTCGTCGAGTTATATCTGCCTCATAGTATTGTTGAAGTCGCTCAGTAAATGGAACGAATCATTTTGAAAAAATCCGAATTGACTGCTAACTTTCCTTACACAATTGTGAAGCCCTAATACTTTTTTTAATCCTGTATGACGATGGGAAAAAACCAAGTGAAGTCATGGTATAGTGCGCATTTTTTCCAATCTTCGATTCACTCTCTCTTTCCGCTCTTTAAGCTGTTCGATAGATGAGTGATAGAACAAGCAAAACAAAGGTGATATTTTTATGTGAAAAAACGGGGAATCTCAATAATATACAATCATGAGTCATTTAATGTAAACGGATGAATGCGCACAAGCCAAACTTATTTAGTGATGTATATATGAGCAACATAATGCTTTTATCTTTTGCATAGAACAAACGTCGATACATTACAGTGATATACTTTTCGCCAACACACAATATTTCACACTAATGCAGGAAGTAAACGTAAGTTTTTTGAAATTATATTCTCTTCAGAAGGCCTTTTTGATCATCAGTATTCAGTGGATTTTTCTATCCTTAAGTGGCACCACTAAGCTTGTATAGTATTTTTTTTCACATCATAATAATTATTTTCCTTCTGGCAAAAATGTCCCGAAGTTCTGTATGAAATGAATAAGAGACATTCATTATTGTAAAACCACGTTTTTCACGCGTCGTTTGTAGTAAGAATTATTAATACGTTTTATTAGTTTCAACGTAGAAAAAAACCTTCAGAATTGTATTCTTTCACCATTCTAAAAGGTTTGACCTCGCTGAAAATTAGATATGATACTGGACAGAAAATAAATGCTTCAGGAAATTTTCGTAGAAGGGATTCTCTTCAACTGAGTTTTGGCAAAGAATATGCTTATGATATTGTCTTCAGAGCCAATAGTTTTAATTGCACAATGGCTCTTTTTGTGATATCAATAAAATTCGAGCCGACAGATCGTGGAAAAATCGTATTCTTCGTAAAATGCCTCTGTGGTTATGATTGTTTAGAAAATGCTCAAGTCATAATGACGAAGTGGAATAATGGAGTTACTTGGTGCTTGTGTTATCCAAAACCCTAGGATAAAGATAAAAATCATAAGAGATTCTTCAAAAACAGAAAATGAGCACACAGATGTAGAAAAGGGATGATTTCGTTGAAATACCTCTAAAAAATATGGCTAAAAAACATGTTTAAGATCTTACACCTAAAAGTATCCATGCTAGAGAATTGAAAACAGAAAAAATAATGTGTACTAGTTTTGACAGAAACCAACAAATACTAAATAAGCATTAGCTGGTCAAAAAAACATTCGAATCAACAGCTTTGATAGTCGTTTTAATATGCTGCAGTATTTGTGCAAGTGTTTTGATCAGGTATAAGTTTATCGCCAAAAAACTTGTGCAGTTTCCTCAACATATTAAATACATTTATTTAATAGTTGGAAACTCGTTGATATTGCAGAGAAAAGTTGTCCCCTTATGCATACATCGACTGAATGAATTAGGAGGCAAAACTATTGCATCGACAGTTTTCTGTAGAAACTTCTCATGGTTAGAGATATTCTTCAATGCTCATATTATGTATGTGTTCTTCCTTAACTATTGTCTCATCGTAGATTGAAATGGTTCCTATGGATAATAACGTTAAATTGGTCAACTACTCGCTTCGTAAGAACAGTGTTGTCGTCGATACAAACAAGAAACCGAGATCAATTTCAAATCGGCAAAATACAAGAAACATTCAGAACAATACAATCGCTCGAATAAAAAATTACACGATTCGACAGAATATGTATGACTTTTTCTTTTGATGTCAAATATCATCGTTGTTGCTCTTTTCCAGGAAATTTTGTTGGTGGGTAACGTTGGGTTTCATAGACAAACCTGTCTTTGTATTGCCTACAATTACAAGTATAGTTACCATCATCGGTATACTGGTTGTTTGTTTAACCGCACCAAAATCACCAGGTCTGTCCTTGTTGTTTTACATTCTTCGAATTCAATACGATAAAAATTCACAGATAATACGGTTCTGTTTTTCCAGTACTGTGAGTTTTAGTAAAAAAAAGCTCAAATTGTGATAATATTTTATATCGAGATGCTTGCGGCAAACCATCCAGCGAGGACAGAATTATAAGCACTGCAACCGCTTCACTTTTTCATTTCAAATTAGTACTGACGAACGCGAACCTACCAAGGTGATCATCACTAGTAGATCTGATACTTTGTCCATAAGTCGGATCCTTGCATTTAACTTATTGGTAGGATTTATAGATTAAAAAAGAATTTCAAAAAGACTAATCCCATTGCCACTTTGCTCTAGAGGAACAAGGATAATAAGATTCTCTAGGATGGAGATTATTGGGTTTTCTATATATATTTCATATCTTAATAAAGCAACAATTTCACGATTTGATTTTTTTTGACAAACTGATGTTACACATTGTTACTTGTTGTAGAAAGATCAACTTTATCTTATTCGATGTTCTTGAATAGCTTCTTCTATTATTTTTGGTGATACTCTCTCCCATCTCTGAATGAAAACAGCAGTTTATCCTGAATTTCTTTTTCTCTATCTCATCGATATGTTCTTGGATATAATAGAAATGTGAAAGAATAAGAGAAAATACAAGTGATTTTCTCATAGAACGTGACGAAAGTAAATATTTCTTCTCTACGGAACACATCTTCTTTACATTTCTTTACTTTATGTTACCTGTAGAGGAGAGTAAGCAGCGTATGTACGCTATCTATATCTTTTGTTGTTCTGCTAGTATGTTCTGATACAATCGTTTTCTTCTTATCTTTTTCTATGGCTCATGTGTGTTCTCTCTCGTATTCTCCAGTGAGTTCTCATTTCATTATTAC